AAAAAAAAAAAAAAAAACTTAGAGTTTGTGGGCCTCTGAAAATTAAAAACTGACATTTACACCAAGGACCCAGAGACCCACAAAGACCCAGTAACCTTCCTCAACAAGATTTGACTATTTTTTGCACAATTTTAGGACTACATACCTCATTGCTGTTTATCCTTTTGTATTTTATTTATTCAACTGACTGTACCTGGGGAATTTACTATACTCTACTAAATGCTGGGCACTTTTACATTTATTAATTCTTATGGATTTTCATTCATGGCATGCCAGCACCCAAGTTTCCATCTGCCATTGAGCTGGTAGACACAGCTACTTAGTAGACACAGCTAGTAAGACTATGTATCTATCCAGTCTAGAACTGTGAAGACCTTGACATCTCATGAGCATTTTTCTGTTCAAACACAATCCAGGAGAAAGCCATAATTTGTTTGGGAACAGGGTTTTCCCTTCACTGAGAATTTCGTGCCAAAGAACTTTAGAAACAGAACAAGGCAAGATGTTTTGAAGTTGCAAATACATATGTTTAGATCAGGTAGAACATTGTTTTATAAGGAGTGGACTTAAGTAAAACTGGGAATTCAGTGACATTTATCCAGGAGACACCACTCCCATTTTGAATATTTGTTGCTATCATTTTTGCAAATAAATTAACTGGATCAAGAAAAGGAAAATAATTTGCTCAAAGTTATACTACTTATGAATGGTTGAATAAAGTATTATGCAACCACTATTGTAAAATTGGTTTTAATTTTTATTATGGTTATGAATAATTAGTAGCATTTTTATTACAGAAAAATATAACAAAAAGCTTATATTAATATTCTGATAAATTATAGAATGTATATCTATCTATTTTTGTTATTTCTCTCGTATCTATGATCTCCAGCCTGTGTACATTATCATCAGGTTTAGTTTAATGAATTTCTTCATGGAAAAGCCAAAGTCATCATTTCTCCATACCTCTGTCATCTTGACACTCCTTTGGTAACTTTCCATCATTTAGTCTCCAGCATGGGTGGATTATATAGGATATCAGGCTTATATAAATGAATTTTTCATGATAAAGAATAAAAAGGAAAATAAAAATTATGAATTTTCAAATCCTGTCAGTCAGAAAATATAGTATGTCACTTTATATTTATTTGGGAAAGTAGCAGGGGAAATGGTTATGAGGGTCAATTTGGGGGTTTTTAGAGTCCAGAAAAAGAAGTTGAGAAGTACTTCCCAGATGTATACAGGTTCAGTCAAGTCTTAAACAAATTCATTCTAAAGTGAAAATAAACTTAATTCTCTCAAGCATTGTTTTAAGAGATTGCTAAGGCTAATGTATTTTTAATCAGCGGAAGCCTTAAGATTGATATTTTTTAACAATTATCCTTGATAAAGCTTTCTTTATTCCAATCAATCTACCTCCCAGGAATCCACCCCCACCACCACCACCACCACCAAAGAATAGGAGGTGCTTTATTAGAACTGATAGAAAGAAAGGTATGCTTCGAGTCAGGAAACCTGGAGTTTGAGACTCAACGAATCACTTCAATTTCTATAGCTGGCAAGAGACTGAACTCTGTTGTCTCTGCTTATTGCTTTTCCCACTCTCTGCTCCTTTATTTAACCTTCTGCAGGAAAAAAGATGTTGAAATCAGAGTCTTCCCCATGGTGAGGGAAAAACAATCTCAGATTAACAGTGAGTACTGGTGATAGGAACACAGGTTTCAAGGAATCAAATCACAGCTATTGGGCTTACCTGGTGATTCCTCTCTTCACATCACAGCCCACGGGAGCCCTTCCTCCAGGATACTTGTGGCTCAATTACTTCTTATGCTGTTTGGAAAGACAGTCTTAATATCTAAACCACAGCTGCTCTCTGGCATGCACACAGGTCCACTGATTCATGAACAACTCCTGGTGCACAGTGCTGCCCTTGCAGGCCCAACAAGCCCAGGACACACCCCCTTGAAGAAGGAAAAGTGAAATACTTTTCTGCTGACTCTCCCTCTGTCTTCCAATCAGTATCAGCCTGGTTAGAGGAAGCTGCTCAGGCCCCAAGACCTGGTGATTCTCCCAGCTGACATTGATGGATTTCTGAAACCACAAATGGAAAATGCTCTAGGGGAATGTGGACCACTTCTGTCCCAGATCAGTTTTCTATAAAATGTCACTCTGTTGAGCTTTCGTGTCCAGCCTCCAGACACCTGGGGTCATACACCATAAAGTAGAAGGAATGCAGCCCTTAATCCCTAATTCCAATGAGGAGAGGTGAGTAATTCCAGTGGGGTCAGGGTACAGGTAGATATTATTTTTCATTTTCTGACTTTCTCACTCAAAGCTGAAGAATCAACTTGCTACTTTTTCGGGAAAAAAAAAAATTGGAACCTTGAACTTCTTGATGGGATAATATGGAATGGAGGCTGGCAAAAGAACATCAGTGCATGTCTACAGAAGATGTATATTTTCAGTATGTTCTTTCTCCTTAGAAAACCTAGAGCTAAATCTTATTAACTTCTTTAATAAAGGTTTCTTTCATTTCTAAGGAGTCATCCAATTTGAAAATTAACACCTCGTGTTTGCAAAAATATATATATATATTTGAAGCCACTCCATATTTTATGAATGACTTGAGGTAGCTTACAACACTACTGCAAAAAATAAAATTATATTAGAATAGAAATAAAGAAATGCGAACCATAAAAGTTGTATATAAACTATAGAAACTGTAAAAAGAGAAACTATAAAAGTAGAGTTACCAACAGTGCTAACAAGATTGGAGTCCACAATTTTAGGGCCAAGCAGCCTTAAACACAATGTGACCCTCTTGTTTCCAGCACCAGCTGGGCCACTTAGTCTATCTATATCATAACTCCTCATGATCAGCTCTGGATCTGGTCCAGTGGGAAAGCTGTCAAGAGAACAAAGCCTGCTTGACAACCCCTAATTGTTCAAGTGCATCAACTACTGCACCTTTGTCCCCTACCAGCCTGGGCAGAATAGAATTTGGTCTCATAATTTAATCAAGTTAATTCCATTCTCCTCGTGTGCCTTTTTTGCTGGATCTTGCTTGTTTTTAGGATCCACCAACTGTAAGTGGAGACCAAATTTCCGTTCAGTAGGAAAGGTCAAGGGCTTCTAGAAATATATACTCTCATTCGGTCGATCCAATGTCTAAAGCACTGGGATTAGATGCCGTCTCTTCAGTTCAGCGCTGCCCTTTTCCTATCATCTCCTTTTAAATGCAAGTTTACGTAGAAGCACAGAAGTCACGGACACCTTAATGGGAATGTGTTTATAAAACGGGACTAATAATCTACTAATTACTTAGGGAGAAAAGTGGCTGTGGAATGAGATGGGAGCAAAAGGGAAGAATAAGGCCATAGTGGAAGGGCAGACAAAATGGCCAGTCAGCATGGAGCTTAACGTGGTCAGGACTTGAAGCTCAGATGGCCCAGCCCCAGCTCACTGTGTTGTGAAGCCCAGCAATGTCCCAGGAACCAGCATAGGGCCCGCAGAACCAAAAGGATCACTACAGTTTCTTATTAGACCAAATACATTTTAGCAGATACCAGAAAATTAGACAACCGGTAGATATAAATGTTTTCCAGAGTACATTGGTTGGGGGGATAATCCAAATCCAAACAAATGAATGCATTTCAATAGTTCGTTAATTCCATATTTAATAGAAAGAGATCATAGTATACCCAATATTTATGTTATTTCACAAAGAGGGTGCGCTTTTGAATTACTGGTGACTCACCAATAAGCCGCTTACTCACCCCTCCTAGTTTCCTCCTAGTAATTTTTTAATGCATGCGATGCTGAATTTCTTAATACTTCCTGGTGAGGTTATGGGGCTCCCCAGTTCCTGCAGAGGACAAAGAGCGAAGGGAAGCAGCATGGGTTTGAGCGCTGCGACGGCATTGTGTGACATACCACTGTTGTGAGCCCACGAAGAGCTATTTTCTATAAAGGCAGAGCTGTGGGAGCATTGCTCCTCTAGTGTGATTGTAGTGCTCCTTCTGCCACAAAATCACACACACTAACCTGTGAAGCAGGAACACTGTGTTCACCTGAGCACATGAAGGCAGCTAAACAAATGTCTTTTGGTCTTTCTGGTCTCCTTTACATTCTTCTCTCTGGTAATCTTGACCACAGAGCTTCCTTGGCAAGAGTCCTACAAATGCCACAGAAGAACAAGAAGGAAGACCTGGGGCTGAGGAAGAGCTCCAAACCTTCCAACTTCATATATGTTGCATTCCTCAACAGTCTGATCATTTTTGATTTCCCAGCAAAAGAGCAGAGTCACAAGAATAAACAGCAACAAACCTGAGGCCCGGGAGAAAGGAAAAGGCAAATATAAATATGTTATTGGAACTGGTTATCTAAATCTTATCACATCAACCAACTTTCCCTGAGAGAATGCTGGCTTGTGAGGCAATATCGGAATTAGACAGATCAGCAGGTAAACTTGAGGAGGAAATGCACCCACCCAGAGCAGATGGACCCTGGAGGGCAGTGACCATCCATGAGAAGTGCTAGACATTCTTTGAGCTTGGTCCAAGAGAGGCTCCATTTCAGGGGCTGCAAAAACTTATGGCCGCCTTAGATGATGATTCGAGAGCATGATAGGCCCTGAACTATTTCTGGTGTCTTTATTCTATAACTGTGAAATGGTTAAATTCAATAAAAAATATTTAAGGTATAATTGTTAGGTAATCCGAAAGGAGAAGTGAAGAGGGGAAGAGTTGAATGAAAATGTAAATTCTAGTGAGATTTTTCTAACTAATATAAGACTTAATCAAAGCCGATGTAGTCTCTTAACATTCAGAACTAGGACTTAAAGAGGGGTGGGTGGAGAATTATTAGACTATTCGAGGGCAAACTTTATCAATGTAACATAAGAAACTCTTTTGGGGGGTGCAGAGTAGCAATGGCATTGCATAAGAATTATATTGCTATTTAGCATTAAAATAAGGGACATCCAAATAAAGGGGGAATTCACAAAAATGGAGGAAATCTTTTCCTATCCATATCAGATACAAGTGTAACAATCTATAAACATGGGCCTGGATAGAAAATTAGAGGAAGAAATGAACTATCAAGCACTTAGTGTCGGCTCACATTTACTGAGCACTTATTATGTTCCAAGTACTGTTCTGAGCAGTTTTTATAGTCCCATGTGCTTTATAGAATGTGCTAATAGTGTAATGTACTAGAGCTACCTATTCTGACCTGACCCGTCCCATAGGTCTCTCTCCAAATCTAACTACACAGTAACAGGAAGAAACAGCCAGCCTAACTTAAGATAATTTACTTTTCCCATTATAAGACTGGACTAGCAATAAAATTCTCTGCCACACATTAGGACCAGGGTACGGTGCAGAAAGCACCTCTTCCCGGGAATCAGCGGCATAGCCAGAAAGGAAGCAGTTCCCTTGCCCATCACACAAAGCACGGGAGCCTAAGGCTAGACCATTCGTAGACAACGTAGACAACCCGCCTCTATGTCAGGGTTTCCTAAGAGCAGAGCAGCTCCCTCCTTGAGAGCTATTGAAAGTCAGCCCTCAAGGCAAACAGAAAGGGCCCTACCAAGTTTTGTAAGTTCCCCAACTGCTGTCAAATTACAAAGAATCAACAGCTAGGTACATTTATCTTGAATTAAACCAGTTTCTTATGAGTCCTCACAGATTCCTCCAGAAAAGGAAACAGGAAGTGCGACCTATTCCTGTGAACCCGTAGAAAATCTTAAACTCTTGTTCCTGAAACTGGATAAGCCCACACATCCTGGGGAATCAGGGAACTTTTCTGAATATTCTTTTAGCCTGGTGTCTACGCCACTACTCTCTTCAAAATGATTCCAGTTCCTTTAACTAGATATCTTTACGTTAAATTAACTGCCATGAAAAAGTAACTTCATTGTCAATTACCTCTACTATTAATTTTGACTTTTGTCTTTTCAATCTTTTTGCTAAATTTGTATCATCTAGGCTGCAAGGCTTCCTACCACTTCTATGTGCTGGAATGATCTCGTGTTCTCTGCTGCTCCCGGGGCCCTTAGGATAGGCTTCCAGAGATTTTTATTCCCAGTAGGCAGGACTACAGCCCTACCTCAGCTTGGAAGTTACAGAAAACAGACCTTCTTCCCTCAACATCCTGATTTAAGAATAAGGGGGAAAAAAATCTCTGAGGGGAAATAATGTAGGGAGGAGGCAAGAGAATTAAAAATGTTAATGAAGCTACATTCAGAGACTGAAATGTGCTGATCAGCCCTGCAGCCAGGCCAGGAGGACACCCATAAAACAAAGGAAGATTTCTACTGGGATTGCTCACAACCCACTTCCCACACCTGTGGAAGGGGAAACAGGAACAACAGAGTCTTTAAGTGGTTGCCTTACACAAATAAAATCTTTCCTTCCCTGTGGCTAAACCCATGAGAAACCCATGGATTAAAGGCTGAGAACTGCCAGCAGGCCTTTCAGGCTACATATTCTTACCTTTTCATGCCACATACTATTCCCCTTCCTCATTGTATGTCCATATCAAAGGAAATAGGAACTAAAGAATGACATATAAACTGAATTCCTTGAATACTCAGGGTCCCTCTCAGTGCTTTTACTCTGCCTCTCTCACTGTCTCCCTCGCTCTCTGCCTCTGAGAGGAGACCACACTCTGTCTGTGGAGTGTTACCCGTTTTCTAACAAACTTTCCTTTTGACTCTAACTCTGACGAGAGTATTGAATTATTTCTACACTCTCTGCCAAAGGACCCTCTTCTCTCCATACAGGGCTTGGTTTCCCCACTACTCGGGGAAATTTGCCTTGTCCTGCATCACTTTTATACTCCCAGCAACCTGTAAGACAGTTACCACTATCATCCCCATTTTATAGGTG